TATTTGTTTCAAAAATAAATTTGCCAAAACGGCTTAATTCCTTGTTGTTATTGACACACAATAACTGAATTAATTTAAACATTGAAAGTTTTTGCCAATAGTATTTTTTGATATATTGACTTCTTAAGTCGTTGTACATATTACATATTAATAAAAAAATGATATTCGTCTTCTACTTCAGTAGTCGACTTACACATTGCACAATATCTCCTATTCCGCTCGATATTTCTATAACGACCGGTTTCAATTGCCAAAGATTGTGCAGACATACGAAGTTTTGTTAAACATATTCTATATTTCTTAGGCATGTACTTAGTTAAATAAAACTGAACGGGAAAATGGTTTACAATATCCTTACATAAAAAACATTTCGAGGAACTCTCTAATAAACCTCTCAAATATTGTTGAGCTTGGTCAAAAATTCGTTGACGTATACAAGGTAAAATGGATTTAGCGTTCGATGGTGATTGGCTAAGCCATACTTCACCGAAACCAAGAGTACATAGCAACTCTTTTACATAGTGTACCCAATTGAAACAAACACCGGTGCTTTTCTTTAATAAAAAAAATCATATGCAGTATTCAAAATACAATTTTCCGTGTCGAGCAGTTTAAATTAATATTGAATTATTCTATACCTTCTTGTATATTCTAAAGGGAAACGACCAAGTTCCCAGTATACCATTACATTATCTGTTGATTGTTTAACTTTAAGTAACCTCTTACAAAAATTTAAATGTACATTTGTAATGTCCAACCCTTTGGTCGAACCCCACACTCCACAAGAGTAGTACAATATGCTACTAACGTATAGGTATCAAACAAACACAGCATGGTTTTATAATTAAGACTAATATTTGAACACTTAGAAAATAAAGCAAACATGGCTTTACGTCCTTGATCTGCCAATTGTTTCTGTATGGATAATTAGAACATCAGGGTTTGCCAAAAGATTTTGATAAACCTTAATTTAAACCTCCCAAGAAATGTTCATTGGAAAAATATAGAGAAAGGTGATAGATAAAACAAAACACCCAACTACTAGTTTACGAAATAATACTTTACTTACAGACTCGCTAGTCATTTAAAACAGGAAGTTACAGACCGAAACTAAACAGGAGAAACCTGGAAAGGGAAGTTATACTAATATGAAAAGGCAAAGCCTTAAAAGCGTAGCTTTTGTTGATCTCTGATATTTACTGATTCAGAATACTGCTTTCAGAATGCGATAAGGTAAACTGTATTTGAAGTCAACAAGTCCCCCCCCCCCCCCTTTTTTTATTATTAAAGTCCGTTCTATGAAGTATGGCAGCACGTCCGTTTTTGAACATTATTTAACTTTTCCTGTCGGAAGATCGGATGGCCGAACGAGCCCCGCCATGGGATAAATTCGGACAGGCATTCGGGTAAGTTCGGCCCCCATTAAATTGATATTTTAATAAATTCTTATCGTACAGCAATATGGTAGTGAGTGATTGGCTTGGCTTTTATGTATATCATTTGAAGCTGTCAGTGTGCTACACGTTTGACTGTAAAAAAAGTAAGCAATTCCGTTTCAAAAAGTTCGCATGACTAGAACGAGATCATGATTTTCTTTCTATCACCTCAAAAGTATTTTTCTCCCGTTAAGTTTTACATTAGAGTTTTCCTCGACATTTTTTCGTTCAATGCCCAGCCAACTAAATTGCTTAGTTCTTAAAGATGTAGATATTAGCTCAAAAACTAAAATATCAGGGGTGGCCGATCTTGCCCCAGTTTACCGTATGTAGATTTTTGTATCATTGATGATTGTTAAAAATGTATTCACAATGTACTGTTAACATCAATGACGCCATTTACTTCCAGTCAAAGCTAAAGTAGATATTTGTTCTTGTGCGTAACGTATATGATGGGTCGGGTGGCACAGTGGATAGCGCGCTCGTCTTCACCAAGATGGCCGGATTCAATCCCGGTCACCTGCCCGACCACGCGGGTTTTCTCCGGATACTCCAGCTTCCTCCCACATTAAGAATTAAATACTCTGCGTGCTTCCGTTAGGGCACAAAAAGAATGATTGAGATAAGTTTAGGAAAAAAACTGTTTAGTAATTGCTATAGAAAAAGTGCATATTACATATTTGACAATTAGTCTAAGTAAATGTATAAAGATGTTAGTTAAAAACTAAAATAAAAAAATGAAAACATTGTTATACTTTAATGTAACTGAGAGATCGTCGTTATATCGATATGTAGTCTTAATCACTGTTCCATCCTGAAACACCGGATTGAATAACAAATTTTGTAACTGTCACCGAGGTTTGACAGGTAATGATGCCAAATAGAATTTAACAGTTTCTGTCTGTAATTAGTTATAAATCGGTACGCGTTGTTAAAAAGTAATATGTTGCTGAAAAAGGGCGTTGAACTCGGGTTGGAAGTCTGGAAAATTATGTAAATTTCATCATAAATGCATTAACCATTGTTTCTTTTACGAGTGGTGATGCATAAATAATTTATGTAAAGTCTATAACCAGACTTTCAAAAATATTTAATTTTTCGTTCATATTCTCAACAAATGGAAATCAAAAACTGATGAAAGTTTTAGATGATGAAAACATAAATGTACACGTTGACCTATTGGTTTAATGCCGGCTCTTTTTGAAGATATCTCGAGGTAGAAATATTAACAGAACCTGGTTGATGACAAAAAGGATCTCCAGAAAATATCTCCATTTTTACTTTTTGTGCCAGTGACAAAAAACTGAAATAAAAAAAAATCTTGAAGCGCCGACAAAGAGATAAATGCAACGGACATGAGAATTTTCTGGTTATTTTTCATCCTTACGGAAATAACCGATAAAGGCCGACGAATTGTGGCGTGTTTGTGACGTCATAGTATGATAATCTCCGAACGAAGTTTCATGCCTGTTAGTATCAGATTTTATGTGATAGACTTTTTGATTCAGAATGTATATAGTTTTTTTAGCTCAATAAACAAGTAATAAAACATGAAGATTGTTTTCACTACATGAAGATGTTCATGGCTGTGTTGAAACACAGCTGTTTTTGCTTCAAAGATACACTTCCTGTTTACCACTGGACGTCTACTTCCGGACGAAAAAAAGGCAATGTGTAGCAAGGGGAGGCAACTCTGTTTACGCACGCATGTGTTACGATTTAAGAGCTTCGCTTCGCTAGAAGCGGTTACTACACATAGGTCTAATAAAACCACTGGAAGCGGATATTACACATAGGTCTAACAAAACCACTGGAAGCGGTAACTACACAGAGGTCTAACAAAACCGCTAGAAGCGGTAACTACACATAGGTCTAACAAAACCACTAGAAGCGGTTATTACTCCTAGGTCTAACAAAACCACTGGAAGCGGTTATTACACCTGTGGTCTAACAAAACCATTGGTAGCGGTTATTATACCTTGGTCTAACAAAACCACTGGTAGTGGTTAGTACAACTAGGTCTAACAAAACCACTGGAAGCGGTTATTACACTAAGGTCTAACAAAACTGCTAGAAGCAGTTACTACACCATGGTCTAACAAAACCGCTGGAGCGGTTATTACACCCAGGTCTAACAAAACCACTAGAAGCGGTTATTACACATTGGACTAACAAAACCACTAGAAGCGGTTATACATTTAACTCTAAAAAAACCACTGAAAGCGGTTACTACACCTTGGTCTAACAAACATCTAGAAGCGATAACTACACCTAGGTCTAACAAAACCACTGGAAGCGGTTATTACACCTAGGTCTAACAAAACCAATAGAAGCGGTTATTACCCCTGGTTCTAACAAAACCACTGGAAGCGGTTATTACACCCAGGTCTAACAAAACCACTACAAGCGGTTATTACACATTGGACTAACAAAACCACTAGAAGCGGTTATACATTTAACTCTAACAAAACCACTGAAAGCGGTTACTACACCTTGGTCTAACAAACAACTAGAAGCGATAACTACACCTAGGTCTAACAAAACCACTGGTAGCGGTTATTACACCCAGGTCTAACAAAACCACTGGTAGCGGTTATTACATCTAGGTCTTACAAAACCACTAGTAGCGGTTATTACACCTAGGTCTAACAAAACCACCAGTAGCGGTTATTACACCTAGGTCTAACAAAACCACTAAAAGCGGTTATTCCACCTAGGTCTTACAAAACCACTAGAAGCGGTTATAACACCTAGGTCTAACAAAACCACTCGAAGCGGTTATTACACCTAGGTCTAACAAAACCACTTGATGCAGTTATTACACCTAGGTCTAACAAAACCACTTGATGCGGTTATTATACCTAGGTCTAACAAAACCACTAGAAGCGGTTATTCCACCTAGGTCTTACAAAACCACTAGAAGCGGTTATTACACCTAGGTCTAACAAAACTATTGGTAGCAGTTATTACACATAGGTCTAACAAAACCACTGGAAGCGGTTATTACACCAAGGTGTAACAAAACCACTAGAAGCGGTTATTACACCTAGGTCTAAGAAAACCACTAGAAGCGGTTATTTCACCTAGGTCTAACAAAACCACTAGAAGCGGTTATTACACCTAGGTCTAACAAAACCATTGGTAGCGGTTATTACATCTAGGTCTAACAAAAACACTGGAAGCGGTTATAACACCTAGGTCTAACAAAACCACTGGAAGCGGTTATAACACCTAGGTCTAACAAATCCATTGGTAGCGGTTATAACACATAGGTCTAACAAAACCACTGGAAGCGGTTATTACACCTAGGTCTAACAAAACCACTAGAAGCGGTTATTACACCTAGGTCTAACAAAACCACTAGAAGCGGTTAATTCACCTAGGTCTTACTCCGTAGTAAACATAATACTCGTCCATTGTACTCGTCAGCTGTCTCTGTAGTTCAAAAGTGTGGAGTTGTCGTCTCTCAACTCTCAACCAGATCCATAAATTATTTCCTTGTACGGTTAAACCGACAATCTCTTCATCATATGAAAGACAAATACCAGATTTTTTTTATATCATTTGTGTCGTTTTATTGGAAATTGTTACAAAATATATATAGACATACAAGCATTAACGGTTAAGAGCATTCATTGCTGAAGTTGACGACTTTTTTCGCCTCAACAAAATTCGGACAAAAATCAACTCACATTGATATACAAAAGTTCAATAACATAATCAATCAGTAATAAATTATTTCACTATTATTAATTATAATAGAGTGTTTTGCTAAATAATGTATAACTGTAATACATTCCTGAAGCTATTCCGTTACGTTATTATAAACATGGCGCGGTCGTTTTACACTGAATATAAAAATGAGTATTTAATTATCCGAACTAGATGCTTGTTATAACATATAAACACAAACAGGTTATATGATCTAGAAATCAGACGTGGCTGCCTAGTGCTGAATGAAATAATTGAATTATAAATTACAGACGTCTTCAAAAAGATTCATCAGTTTGGAAACATGTAATATCAAGGTTTCACTTTCTACACACAGTATACGTTTAATACGAGTTTGTGTATGAAGTAAAACTTTGATAATAATAACAAAGTAAATTTATTTAATTTAGCCACTATTACTAATATTTTGCATAACAATTGTATTGGATTACATATAATAACCGTAAATTCTATACACAGATAGACATAGAGACATGGCTCTACCTTGTATCCCTACCATTGTATAGAAACCAGTGGGAGTGATGGATTACCTTGGTTTATACCAAATATAAATCCTGGAAATGTTTTCATTGGTTGAAAAAAAATGAGGTTCTAGTGTTTTGTGGCGTCATGATTTTCACGGTCAGAAACCGGAATTATGGTTAAAATATTGCTTTCCTAGCAATTAACTTTCAGGCATCTTATTAACTTGCTGGTGAGAAACATTCCACAACTTACGTTGGTTATCAACAGTATCCAGGTCTCATACCACGTACCACAAGGACCATATTGTATATTACATCCTTTTAGGGACATTTAGGGAAAGCAAAAAAAAAAAAATATATAAAAAAATCATGTTACTTAAATACTCCAGTCTTCAAAAACTGCTGGCATTGGGTTGATAATGTTGGTACATAGACAAAATGTATAGATTACTGGCACTGGGTTGATAATGTTGGTACATAGACAAAATGTATAGATTACTGGCATTGGGTTGATAATGTTGGTACATAAACAAAATGTAACGTTTCCTGGCACGTTCTAGTACAAGCTGCTAGTTGTCAAATTGTACATTGTACATTGTAATTGCCAGAAAAACTCTCCGTTGTTTCCTATCATTATCACAAAATTTTACCGGATATCCGGTAGAGTGCACTATAACGTGATTCCTGAATATGTCAGTTCAGTTCTGACGTCATCGATTGCACAGTTTTGTATATTTATCCGCCCCTCAAACTTTGGATTGTGCACCTCCTCGTAGGAAGGGGGAGGGGGTTCATAGGGAGGAGGTGGATCGGATATTGTTTCAGATATGGACTCTACCTCTCTTCGTGAGCCCTGATCTTGTGAATAGTCTACAAATGGAACAGTGATTGTCTGTAATGAAAAGTCAAGTGTTGAGGAAGGTTGAAGATCTTTCTCTGGTATACACACATCAAGACACTTCCACACTATACACGATTTCCCCTCAGTTCTTGCGTTTCTCCTCAAGGCGTACATGGTTACGAAAAAGGCACAAAATGTGGCAACGGTGAGGACGCATCCAATGGCTATCAAAACTGCTGAAGTAATAAAAAGTTCATGTATAGTAATAGAATTAGAAAAAGTTTCATTCGAAATTTAATTGGGGAAAACGTAGCAGATGGTAAATACATTACCTTAAAAATTGCAATGACTTCTAATATGTGCATAACGCCGCAACACAGCTGTTGAGTGCAAAAGGTCATCTTTTTGGAATTTTGGGATAAATTAACAATCAACCATTGCTAAATTTAGCTTGAACATATCATATAATTCGAATCACATCCTTGATAAGAACATTCCCAAAAAAATCTGCTTTGAGTTAAAAGGCAACTTGTAATTATCGGATGCTAAATATAAAGAAACTTGATTCCGACCTTTTCTATTGAAGCTACAAAATCAAATTATCAAATTAAGTCTCAACAAACTTACAACATCTTAATATAACCGGAAGTAAATTGTATTTCGCCTACAATAGACATGCGCAGTAAACTCACATTTATCGGTTCTGACGTGGGGAGCTATTGTTATGGCCACCCTGGACGCCGTCTGATGGGACACCGTAAACTTGATGTAAAGTTCGTTAGATTGAGAACAATATTCCTTTTTCGCGGTGTCACAGTTAACTGTCTGTAATTAAAAAAGGATTTATGATGATGTTAAATGTAGTAGAATACTCTCGCTAAATTGTCTACTTCTGTAATTGCCATGATAGAGGCGAGGGAAGCGGTTATCTTAGGGGCTTCAACAATACAAACAAACTCCGACTGATTTTCAAACCCCAATCACTTCGCACAATTCAGAGAATCAATATCTGTGCACGTCACTGCATTTAAGAAATCTTGCTAGCCTATGAAGACCAATACATTCGAATGGTAAACATGTTGTGTCAACTCAAACACAGACCATTATGTTGACTTCAGCGATTCTCGAAATTTGAATTATAAATTTACATTATAAATTTACGTCGCTGAGACTTGGGCATGATGGGCCCATTTTTATTAGCCGTTCTAGGCTGCATTGCATTTTCGAAATTTAGGTGCATGAACACCATTTTGAAAAGACATTCCATGCCTTTCATAAAATAATAGGAAAGGGCTAACATGTCAACATTTGAATAACTGTTAAACTGTTTTTGTCTGAAGATTCGATGACTTGTCTTGGGGTAAGTTAGGACAGGAAGTCTCTGGAGTAAGTTCAGCCCACGTTAGAATCAGCATAATTATGACGTCATAAAACATGCGACGTCAGGTTTTCCAGCCAATTTCACGGCTTTTCATATATTGCTTGGGCCGAACTTGCCCCGACTGGACTAACCCCGGGGCCAAACTTTTCCTGATCTCCCCTATAATCAGTGACATATACCCTATATATTATTCCCTATAATATGATGACAGAAAATAGGAAAGAGTCAGTATGTCGATTCCTAAGTGCGAAAAATTGTGGTTAAATTAAGTTTTGTTTCTTAAGTTTGGGAACACCCTAAATCAATTCCTATATCCGCCCCTGTACAACACCGTATATATTCGTCTTGACGAACAGTCCGACATTTACTTGGGTGAATCGAATTAAACATACTTGATTTTAACTGTACGGTTTTTACCTGCTTTAAATCTGAAGCCGAACCTTCAAAATACTGCATATGAAAAGCACACGCCTCCAATGAAAATGTTTCGATGTTAACACATATTTGGAAAGTGTCCATATCTGTCAGATTAAATCCCACCCTGCAGTCCTTGGAAAGGGTACGTCCGTCCCATGTCAGGTAGTATGACGTCAGCGAAGCTCCTTCATCCTCTACCACGTGCGGCGGTTCTGCACATGTGACATTTGTGAGGTCAATTGAGACCGCTGCAATACAGGGGGAAAATAAAATCTTGTGACGTAAAAGCGCCTTCACCATTTCTTTACCCTAATATGTTATAGGCATTAATTAAATTGTTCACTGATGACGTTATATAACTGAACATGACGTCAGGGTTGACTGAGGTTTCATTACTAGAAAAAGTGGTCTTAACAAAATCAAACAACGATATTACAATGAATATTTACAATTGTGTATATATTACCAGGCGTTAATCATGTCGCCAGAATATCACTGTATCTTTAAGCATGCAAGGCCGCAGGCTGTTTACACTTGTGTCATGTCGTTTTGAATAGTTATCCATCAAGGTCAGCTATCGTTTATTTACTGGAATAAATTGACAGTCCATCTGAGCCATCAACAACATGTTCGTTGTGACATAAAGATATGTATCATGTCGAGTTAATTTATGTGTATGGATGATTTACATACATATCTAGATGAAGCTTTTGATTGCAATTGTTTCCATGACAATGGCTCTAGATCGGCATATACCTGCGAACAGCTGCGTAGTTGGCGATTACGCGTTTGTAAATAGAGCGATGTGACGTAAGACTCACGTCTCGATTACCAACAATTGTTTCGATGGTTTGTTTTGGGAGGGGGTATTATGTGCACATACATGTATTAAACTCAATGAAAACATAATTCAAACTCACCTTCTGTAAGATGGAGACTTTCCCCAAGCACTAATAATGAAGCAAGACATGACACAAGCATGACTTTTGGTACTGCCATTGGACGTTAGGTCATACAGGTCAGGGTCACAGGTCAAGGCCACGACAAAAAGTTAGAGGTCGTACATGGTTACCAGTTTGGCAAGAACTCTGCATAAACAGAAATGAGATTATTGAAAACAACCTGTCACAAGTCGGTGTTACTAGATAGCGCAAGCATGTATATAACACTTACAGTGTACGGTAATATCTGTGTTATCTATTGACCCAGTTTGAGGTTATAAAAAGGCAAAATATAAATCGGTCAAAATATAAATCGGTCATAACTATATATGCACATAAGTGTTTGAACAATGAAACTCTAGAGGTTATTTCAACCTTGAAAGGCCATACACAGGTTTTTAACAAGACATACGGCATCTCTTATTCTGAATACAATCTGTTCTATGAAGAAAGCACAAAGGTAAAGACAGTAGTAAAGAGGAAGATTCATAACGCCGTAATCCAGACACCCCGTGGTCCTTGTATCATTAAAACATGAAACTGTTCTCTGATAGAGATATTTTCCTACAATAAAAATACCCATCAATCTTATTAAAACGGATGTTCCCATTGTGTCTTGAATAAAAAGGAGGCGCTGTGTCATGGAATCCGGACTAACGAAGTTCCATTTTACGGAATTCTTCTTTCGTGGAAAAAAATTACAAGAAATCACATGACATCAAGAGTGTATTTTGACACTACTGTGATGCTACTACACAGTACAGCCAGGAATATATTACAGTATGACGAATGCATGAAATGTGTCCGAAATGTACATCGTGATAACAGATTTTTGTTGTAATAAATCACGTTAACTGTTCAATCCGCAGAAATACTCCAATGTTTCCCGTATGATCCGATGTTGGTTGAGAAATATAATAAACATGAGGAACACTATTATCTCCATTTGTCCCCACCACGAGGAATCTGGACCGCCAGCCATCTGTTGTCCACAAAACATCAGCCGGGGGTTTGTTAAGTCAGACGTCGTCTCCATCAGGAAGCTTGTCAGATGATGTCGAGGGAATCAATATCCAGATCGGTAAAACAGTGGGCTTTCTAAAATCTACCCGGCGGAATATAATTCAATCAATACAGTCCTTCGTGTAAACGATCACGTCCGGAAGCCAGTGTCGATCCAAACGAAACTATTTTAATACGATATTTTCCTAATTTATATAGTATGTGACAGGATGAGCCGTACTCGAGTCTTGTATAAACACAATGCAAGCTAACGATTACTCCAGTATTACCGAGTAATTAAAATGTACTCGGCACACTCTTTGTTCGCTAAAGCACCTCTTTGTTTTTATAATCCATGTGATTGAAGGCGTGATGGCATTATTCCTTCCATAATAATGACAGTTGTGTGATTCTCCAATTAAATCCGTACAGTATAAACTAATTAAACGATCTTGATTGTTTTGATATGTCGGTATTACTGCACACATTAACTTTTGGCAAATCTTGAAATCAGTAGATAGGAAATGATTCTGTGGTATAATGTGACTTAAACTTGCAATTTTTCGTAATGGTTAAATAGACAATGCAATCAGGAGTCATTCAACGAACAGTTTATCGCTGCGAGCATATTTCAAAACATTCCTCAAAATCCTCGAAAAAATCAAGATAAATCAAATGGTCGCGACCAAGGACTGGTTTTGGATTGTTCTTGTGTATCCGCGCACCCCACCTTTCATTTTTCCTTAAAAAAGTGCACACTATACGCGAATATTTACGGTAGTCGATGGTCAGACATAAAATATCTAAATCAATCAACAGCAATCCATAATATACATAACAGTCTACCCCTTTGGGAACTTCAAAGGTGCCTGATTCATACTCGGAACACACAGATATAATTTCCCGTGTGAAATTTGGAACGCCTTCCGTTTTTTATGTTAAGCAAATCTATATCTGAGTTATCCAAGAGCTTGTAATTAGCACCTGGTATATTCCGACAGAAGCAAACACACGAAAGCTCCTCAGAGTGATAGGCAACATATTTCAAAATATTGAAATGAAACCGAAATTAATAGTTCCCGCTGAGGTTCCCCCAGAGGTGACTAAAAAAGAGTTTCTCAATGTCTAGAATAATTGCTCTTTCGGCTTACCATAATTACGATGTGCCGTCCAAAATTCTCGATAGGTTATTTGAAATTAAACGGGCTCTGTCTTTTCTATAATACATATATCTTATCAATAATTTTCCAATCATAAGTCTTCTTTTAACACGTGGTAATCGATAAAATTACGGGTAGTCATCATACATTTTCTCCAATTTTGTTTATGTTTTTTACAGACGTTAGCATAACAATCCTTTCACAACCCCTTACCAATATTGTGTGAATACAATACACACTGATCATGATGTAGAAAAGTCCTGACACAATTCACACTGGGGAACCTATCTAGTAGTCTTCCGCTATTTAATGTAGTTGCTTGAAGACGTTTTAATTGATAGAAGACATCTGTACCGGAAGTGAAGTATTGGGTTTACTGATAAGGTGTCATCATTATCATAAATAATAACCACAAATTCACGACATATGTTCGATCTTGTTTACTTTTGCTGACATACAGTATAATTACACTAGATATAAACAATTCGATCTCGCTGCCACTGGCAACACAGGGACATGACCAGGAAGATATGTGTTAGTCAAACCGGTTTCGATGACTTTACGATACATATTAGCCTTAAGACAGGTAAACAATTACAAAGGTGACAATCGGATATAAACAACAGAAGAAGTAATATAGCTTCGGGTCTCGTGTTCACGATGCATACCGTTTTATACATATACGAATCACAGGTAAAACAAATAAGAATTTTGGATCAATTTTGCGAAGGAAATGTTAAGCAGACTTTGTCGTTTTGAAAATTGTTAAATAAGGAAATGCACGCACCATTTTAAACACCTACATCAATAAAACGTTCGTAAACCAAGATGATTTTAGATCGGCAACGTCTGATTGTGGAAGTTTACAACATTTTACTTTTTATAAGAAATTTCCCCGTGTGGTCTATATAATTAGTTCCAGTTACGTAACACGGGTAATAATGTGTGAACCGCTTTGAGACGACCTACGAATTCGAACTAGGTTGTGATAAAACGGTTTATAAGAACCTCGAATTCTTATTAATTATTGCCATTCACATCTTGGATTGTCACCTAAGTACATAATGTATGATGAAAACTCTACATAAAAGATCAACTACGATGCTCTGTCTAGATCTGGAGAAAATAGGGTCAGTCCAAATACAATACATGCCGCGTTGATTAGTATCGAATCATACAACTTATTAATAATTCGTTGGATATATATATCCGGTCCAGTCCGGCACTCGCTACGGTGTTAATCACGTGATATATGGCTTATTGAATTAGCAATCTCACCTCTTGATTCTACATCTGACTAGTTCAAGTTCTTCATTATTTTGAGCAGACATACAGGTATACTATCAAGGTATATCACCAATAGCCGAGATTGGATTGGATTAGACTGTCTAAGTCCGTGGTCAATATAGTTATCAGCTGTCTAAAGCTTATGACCAAACCAGACTCTTTGGCCAGCATGTAAGAGTGCTCGGGACGAGGGAAAGAAGGCATACTTTGTGCGTGAAAAGTTGTACATTGATGGTATTTTGTACACCGAGCCTACAGTAATAGCGACCACTACCAAGGACACTGGTGGAGCCATCCCTAAGCCAAGTAATCATGGTAACAGAGCCAGCCAAGGAACAGCTAGTCGTGGTCAAGGCAAAGCTAGTCGTGGACGAGGAAGTGGACGAGGAAATGTCGGTCGTGGACATCATCCTGTTTCATAGGACAATGTGGAGTGTGGGGACACGCCCCAGAATCTCAAAGTTCTATCATGGAACATAAACGGTGGACTTGACAATAAGTTAAAGACAATAAGTTTTTTAAATTATATCAAGACATATGACTTGATTTTTCTATCTGAATGTTGGATACCCAATGATTATTCTTTATCAATTGAGGGGTTTTCGTGTTATATTTACCCTAGATTACTAGTTGTAGGATCTCAAGGTGGTGGGATGGTTATTCTTGTTAAAAACGTGTTTGTAAATTATGTATCTGTAATTGAATCAATATATGATTCAATCATATGGTTAAAGGTATCGAAAACCCTTATTGATAACCAAAATGATTTATATATAGCATGTGTTTACATGCCACCTTCTAGTTCTGTATATTATAACATGTACAACTGTGACCTTTTCTTTGAACTTGAAAATGGTATTGTAAATTATAGTTCCCTCGGGGACATTATGATGGTTGGAGATTTTAATAGTCGTACAGGTATCCTACCTGATTATATCCAGAATGATGTAATTCATTCCAGTATTAAAAATTGCCTCTCCAATATAATAAATTATGAACCTGATGACGGTTTAAAAATCAGGCATAACCCAGATGTAGTAATTAACACTTTTGGTAATCGCCTGATACAGCTATGTAAATCATGTAATATGTGTATATGTAACGGAAGAGACCAACAAGGATATTCTAATGATTTTACATACTATGGACACAACGGCATGAGTACTATAGATTACTGTATAATTACAGATTCATTATTTAATATTCTGGAACAATTTATAATTTCAAATTTTAATGTATTTTCTGACCATGCTCCTTTGCATATTCAATTAAAATGTCAGATTTATCACACTGTTACACATGAGGTTACTGAAAGTGGTGAGCGTAAACCATTATACAAATGGAATGATGATTTTAAGGATTGTTTTTTAAATCTGTTGTCTGACAATCAGGAGAACCTATGTGTTGCTGTAACCATCCCTGATGCTGTTAGTCAGTCTGATATTAACACTAGTGTGAGTAGTTTTACTGAAATACTGATGAAATCTATGGAACCTTTCCTTGTAAAATTAACTAAATATTGTGATGCCAATCAAGATAACCATAATTATACATGCCGAGATGGGTTAATCAATTTTAATACTGATAAACCATGGTTTGATATGGAATTGAAAACTTTGTACAACTTGTACAAATCAGCTCTGTATAACTTCAATAAGGAAAAAAATGTATTTAATCATGCTCTGCTTGTGGAGAAGAAAAGGAACTATAAATTAAAAGAATCTATGAAAAAAAGAATGTACTTAAAGTGTGAAGGCGACATGCTTGAATACATGAGATTTAACAATCCTAAGGAATTTTACAGAAATTTCACTGCAACCAAGTCCAAGAAACCAGATATTGAATTGAAAGTTTTATTTGAGCACTTCAAAAATTTGGCCAGGAACGATAACTCTGATCAAGAACCTGATCAATCTCACAATCATTCAGATGAAGTACCACTATATGAAGAATTGGACCAAGTAATTACTATTGATGAAATTTGCAAAGCAATCAGTAATTTAAAGAAGGGAAAATCCCATGGTATAGATTGCATCTTAAATGAAAGTTTATTGGTAGGGAGGGATATTTTATTACCTATTTTGTGTAAACTTTTTAACAATATATTGGACTCTGGTCTCTATCCTGCTGATTGGGCAGTTGCTGTAATTACACCGGTACATAAAAAGGGTGACCTAACTGACCCTAACAATTTTAGAGGTATAAGTATAGTAAGTTGTTTAGGAAAATTATTCACTTCTGTTTTAAACAATAGACTTTTAAAATGGTCAGAAACATATGATGTAATAACTGATGCTCAATTTGGGTTTAGACCTGGTCTTAGTACAGTAGATGCTATATTTTGTTTACATTCTATTATATCCAAATCATTTATTAATAAGAAAAGATTGTATTGTTGCTTTGTCGATTTTCGTAAAGCATTTGATATGGTAAATAGAATAAATTTATGGAATAAGCTATCAAAACTTGGTATAAGAGGAAAGCTATTACAAGTTGTAAGGTCTATGTACTCTCATGTTAAATCTTGTGTTAAATTAGATGGAAAGTTGTCAGATTTTTTTCTTAACAGGGTTGGATTATTACAGGGTGAAATTCTGTCACCGATATTTTTTTCTATGTATATAAATGATTTTGAATCATATTTTATACAAAATTGCAAGGGTAGTTATGAGTTTGAGGAACTCAGTTTATATCTGATGCTATATGCTGATGATCTGGTATTATTCTCCGAGACTGTAGAAGGTCTCCAAGATATGCTTGATAATTTAGAAAAATATTGTACTGAATGGAATTTAACTGTAAATGCTGAAAAGACAAAAATTGTAGTTTTTAGAAAAGGTGGAAGATTGCATAATGAGGAAAAATGGTATTACAAAGGAAGTAAGGTTGAATGTGTGGATCAATTTCCTTACCTAGGTGTTATTTTAAATTACAACAATAAATTCACATCTATACAAAAACAATTAGCTAGCCAAGGACGAAAAGCTATGTTTGCATTATTTGCAAAGTGTTCATCATTAAACTTAAATGTAAAAACTATGCTCCATCTTTTCGATACATATGTAAGCAGTATCCTTTTCTATGCAAGTGAAATTTGGTGTATGCACAAAGCTCCAGAGATAGAACATGTACATTTACATTTTTGTAAGAAACTACTAAAAGTGAAGAAATCGGCCAATAACAACATGGTATATCTTGAATTGGGACGGTTACCTCTAGTTTGTATGAGAAAAATTAGAATGATAAAATATTGGTTTAAATTATTAAAATCTGAAAATTGTATTATATCAACTTCCTATAGGTTTTTATTACAATGTTGTAGTAGAAATGATTTCAACTGGGCTATAGCAGTAAGAGATGAATTAAACAATCTAGGTCTTAGTGATGTTTGGTTAAATCCATGCATCTCTCAGCAAAATCTGTTATTACCATTGATAAAACAAAGAATTTTTGATCAAGGCATACAATCCCTAAGGGCCACAGTGGAAAACTCTCCAAAATGTTTATTGTATAAACATATAATAGATTTTGGAGAAACATTACAATTTTACCTCACAAAATATATACCAAAGAAATATCGCATTTGTTTAACTCGAATACGTACATCTACCCATTCTTTAGCTATAGAAGTTGGAAGGTATAATAATATACCTAGAGAACGTAGATATTGTAAACAGTGTAACTCCCCCTCTGAATTAGAGGACGAATTTCATTTTTTATTGGTCTGTTCTAAATTCCAAAATCTCAGATCTCGTTTTATCAAAAGCTATTATTGGAAAAAACCATCTGTGTTTAAAGTCGTCCAGTTATTGAGTGTCCATAATATTAAAGAATTGTGTATACTAGGAAAATTCATATATGAGGCAAACAAATTAAGGGTATTATAATGGAATATGATTGTTTTCATCCTCTGTACATTGTCCATGATTTGTTTAAAAAATGTTTTGTATACTGATGGGCCAATGGCCCAAAGTTTGAATAAAACTTGAAACAACTTGACTCGATCGTCGTCACTGATGACCTCCCTTTACATGAACTCTGATGTAACCTAATTGTTGATGGTAAAGATTACTGTTTACAAGTATAGTGAGATCAACAGTATGACTTAACGTTCATCAATGAGATTACCGTGTCTAGCTGACCGTTTGCCAATGTTTGTGTACGCTTCACCGACTAGCAGGCTATAAGGTTAAATAATATCAGATACAATTTAGACCCAGTCTCAACTGCTAGGAATTATAACACGTTCATGTCATTGTTTGGAGGATGTATTTAACACGAGTCGAACAAAGACATTTGTTTATCATCAGAGTTTGTGCTGGACATGCGTACATAATATATTTATACATGACATGTAAAATCCTTTCAAAAGTAGCCGGGGTCCCTCTAAATATAAGCGAGGTCCTTTTCAATTTCTAGGCTTAAACTGGATATAATAAGGCCAGAAACACACTAAAGGAGAGGTGTCCATCTTAGGAAGCAAATTCATGGTGTACTTGTATCTAGTGACAAATTTCGATAATAAGTTATTGAATAGTTATTGTAATATATACGTCTCTGCGTGGTTTAAGTGGATGAGGAGCTGATTAAGCTCATGCATCAGTGGCGGATCCAGAGGGGTTTTTTGGGCTTCAGGACCCCCCCCCCCCTGAGAATTTTCTTTAAAAATCATGTATTTTCACCACTTTCCTCAATTTTTCCCCACATGAAAACCCCCCAGGAAATTTGGAAACCCCCCCAGATAGGTGTCTGGATCCGCCACTGTGTATGGATGGAAACAAATAGTATCAAAAATTGAAGATGTCAATATTTCTGAGTAAATGCTATACACTAGATCTATTAAAACAGAAATTATGGAACTTCGAAACGAATGTGTTACAGTTTCTTTAAGGGGACGACATGTATGTCCGTTGCATAGCCCAATTTATTGCAGGAGGGGGNATACTATGCCGATAATTTCAACAACAGTTACCTGAAATTGATGCCAGTAAAAATCCTTATCCTACACGTGAACCAGCGAAGTGTACATCAGGCACAGAAGTTGGTAAGTTAGAATGGTATCACATAATTCCCCGGTGCACACCTGTCACCCACAGACTAATGTGCTGTGTATGCTCCTGTTGGGTCCCTACCTGTATACGGTACACAGTGATAACGTATTCACTGAACAGGTCATACCTTGGTGATTACTACAACTTCTCCGTGCTGTCAGCGAATTGACTGATAGCCCTTGTACATGTACACATTGGGTATTACGTCATTAGATTACGTGTGCTCATTACGTAACAGAAAGTGAAGATAAAGCCACCCTGACTAAATGAAAAATAGGCGGTCTCTATGTCATCGGTGACACCATATTGCTTCCTTGTTAAAGGATTATGATAAGTGATTGATACAAGTATTGATATTGAGTCGATAGGAAACTGGGTAGCACAGGTATTCCTATTGTTATTATCAACAGGATATGGTATGGCAAGCCAACTTAACATTAATTAAGATCCTGTGTTTCACAAAATTATATAAGATGTCTTATGTACGTGTATATGTTATAGGATATATCAATAATATATCAGATGCATGCATCTTATAAAACATCTCAATACTATGTCTTGATTACTTTATCGGGTATCTTGCATACATGTACGTGTATGTACTTTTCTATATGATGTAAGAACTCTGTTATCCTTAATGGGATATTTTATAAAGAAATTTGTATAAGATATATAAAACACTATATAAGATATCTTATTTATTTTACAAGATATCTTATATACAATGTCTGTTTCTATATAAGATATCTTATACAAATGCGTTTATAGGATACTCGACTTTTAAATAATAAACCCTCTGGACAGAATATGTCGGAATAGGCCACTACATTTCAGGCTGAACCGATTTCCACCGTTTCGGTTCAGACTTTAATAAGATTTATCGTTTGTAAGTTGATGGATTGATTGAAACATATACATGCATTTACTTACAATAGGGTATTTGTTTATAAATGATTGTTCGCGATGTCGTTCCGCCGTGAACAATCGTTTTACAATATTTACTAATTGTCAGTCTCGCGAGAATCTCGTTCTTTATGAGATGTCGCAGGAAAAAGAGTAATGTGCTTGCTGCGGGGATCGAACCGGCGACCATGGTTTTCTTTCTATTCCGCCGCTCTTCCCTTTAGCGCGAAGCTAGAAGACCACCGTTATCATATGTACAGTTAAAACTAGCCACATACGATATCTTACATATTGTACAGGGAAATTCCATATATATATATCAGGTATTAAATATGATGTAGATTATATATTGTATAATATATAAGATATCCTAAAATATCCCATGAGTAAATGTTGAGATGGCTTTTGTGTTATAGTCGGGGACACAGATGAACGTTAGGCCTCCTCCTGTCCAGAATCCAACACCCTCCCTGACGTTCGAAGTATGATCAGAGAGATATATGTGAACCTTTCGTTTTTAATATCAAGTAAGAATTGGAAAAAAGACCACACAAAACGAGTGGAATTATTGCGACTGTTACCGGATTATCTTGTAGAATCTAGAAGACCCCGTTTAAAATTGAAATTCAGCAAAACAGAATAATACTAGATAAATATATTTGACGAGAAGGATACGCTATGAATGCCAACTGCAAGTATAAAAGATGCTAGTTTGAGTTTTAAGACAGAATATAAACATGTAGGGTATATATATATATGTTTACCACGCTGAACCGTCCTTACCAATGAGAGTTAGCTCCCTTAGGTTGCTGTGTGTTGTTTGAACTGCAACAATACTATGCTTACGAAGCTCGTGTTTATCTTTATTTGTAAAGTTCCTTCAACGTTTTAATCTTTCTCGTGACAGAATGATAACAGGGGTAGTTATTTGGTACGTCCAGAGATCAAAAACTTACACAAGGTTCAAGATGGCGGTAACTGTACTTGTGAATATGATAAAATAACTACTCTAAAATAAAAGCAAGTCAACTTTACCCTTACTCTGCCTAGTGATACTTTTATTTATAGTCGAAGCATTATTCTGAGATCTCACATGTGCATTTAACCTTTCCGCAAAATTTTCCAGACTAATAAACTCGCAACATCTCATGAAGGGCGCTTGCAGTACCCATGCTTTTGTTTGTGAGGACAGCTTAAAATGTCGAAAAGAAGATATTTATGTTCAGAACGTAGTTTAGATGCGGTGATACATACAGTTGTGAATTTAATTGTTGTTTTTAAAAGTCATCACTTTATAAATTACACAAAAGAAGAAAATATCTGCATATTTACATAAGTTGTTAACGTCGAACTCTTCTGAACAAGAAGGTGTTGCTATATACGGTGTTATATTCTTTGTATTGAATTTCATGCTTACATGTTTACCTGCATATCCGTTCCTAGACATTCTTCACCGTTAGTACCAAAGAGGACGAAACAGCTGCATGATGCAGTGTGATTCATTTCTGGTACCAAATGTTCTAGGTGCAGTCACAGTTTGTTTCTTACGTTCATCAATCAAGACTACAATAGCAAAAACATGTATGGGGGACTTTAAACAAACTATAAAACATGATAAGTTATATTGAATCCGTCAGTGCCATAGTACCGCAAGTTTACCTGCTAAAATATGCATACGAAACCTGAGCTGATGTGAGGCATGCCGAATGTTAAATCTTTAAATATATGTAATAGCCTTCGGAAACCTTCTGCCCTTTTCTGGTCCTTTTACCTTTCCTCAGGATTTCTATATTATTGTGACCTTGGAATAAGTTAGCATGCCAGACACGTGCCCACTAGAAAGTGCATGTACTTGAACAGCCGTACATTTAAAAGTACAGAACTACAACAATGATGTTGCATACTACAGTTTTTAACAAGGAGTTTAGTTATTGATTACGTTTTGAATAATTTTCTGTTTCTCAAACTTCATGACCTTAATGACACGTCAATTTGACATTTTTCGTTCTCAGTCCTGTATTTAAGAATTTATTATGTAGTCAATGGATGTCTGATCCGATTCTGATAATAAGGAATCTAAAGACAATAAGGTTTCATTTTTATATATTTACAATTACACTGCAAGTTCCTCTATAAGCATTATCATAGGAAATTGCGTTCATAGGACTATATTTACATTTGCCCCCGCGCCGTCCCATTACAACAATGTTAGAGGGCAAGTGTAATTATATAGGCTATAATTACAACTGCTCGACTATAATTACAACTGCCTGTTTCAGGTGTAGGAATATGTAAACAAACAAAATGGCCGCCTGAAATGTATTTTGAGGCAGGGCAAATGGTTTTGTAGGAAAATGTCTTAAAAAAGAAAAATATGTAAATATGAAAAATACCTGGTTGTCTGGATGTTATTATTGTTGATATAATTACAAGTGGCCTCTGGCAAATCTACCATAAAACCGTAGCGGGTTTTATGGTAGATTTGCCAGAGGCCATTTGTATTTATATAAACAATAATTACATCCAGACAACCAGTTATTGTTTAACTGAACGTTATTGGGTCAGCGTCATTTTGAAATGTATCCTTCCGCCTGGATTAACATGAAGCAAACATTTTGGTGACGTTAGGCTGTTCCCTGAATCTCGTTTGCAATGACAACACAGACATTTCAATATCGAAACAATAATGAAATATTTTTGTTCATGTAAATGATAGCTACATGCAAAACCTTAGAATGCAAATATAAGGATTGAACGGTATTTTTTTGCAAAGTTCATGCCGGTATGAACGCGAACCGGTAAATACATATTAACCATGACACCCTCGCGGGCTTCATGGAATATGTATGTAACCAATTTGCGTTCATACCAGCATGAAATTGAAAAAATATGCATTCTATACTCATTTGAATAATTATGAAAAATATCATCGATCAGTAATTTACTTTGATGCGTCCCTGCCTCAAGATTCCACGATACATGCTCCAGTTATAGACGACACAACAATGTTGTTAAGGTAGAGGGGAGAATTGTAGTTGTCCAAAGTTTGAATGTTTGAAATAAAAATTAAAAAAACGAAATAACACTGAAAACAGCAGGGGTTGAACACAGAATTTAACATTGCAAAGCCAACACCTTACTCGTACAGCCATCTAGGAACTAAATTTGCAAAGCCTCAAAATTAATGCCCTATTAATGGGATGCAAAGTCTGAAAAAAAAACGTGACTGGGGAAGTAACTCTAACCAAGAAACAAACTCACTTGGTTGCTTAATATAAACTTTATTTATTTTACAACAATTCTGAAACAAATTATTTAACTTATATCAATCACTCTTGTTTGCCTGAATGTTGGTGTGCAGGGTGTCTTAATGTGGGAGGAAACCGGAGTACTAGGAGAAAATCCATGTGGTAGGGCAGGTGATCTCATACCTTTTCACGTCCGATCGGGGAATCGAACCTCGGCCGCCTTGGTGAAAGGCGAGTGCGTTGCGTTATCCGCTGCGCCACCCGACCACCATTGGTTGCTTCATCTTTATTATTGAGGGGAGATTACTTCAAGTTTAAAGTAACAAAGACCTTAGGGGGGGGGGGGGACTCTTCTTCGCTGTGAATGTGAAAACTGATGATGCAGTGGTACCATTTACCTTTTAAGTGTTCTAACATGCGATGGGACCCAAAGTGTTTGGATAAAAATAATACATGTTAATCTCTTGACCGCAGCAAAAGGGGCCGCGGTGGCCAAGTGGTTAAGGAACTGGCCGTAGGTCGGTTGTTTTTTCTCCGGGAACTCCGGCTTTCCCCAACCATCAAAACCTGGCACGTCCTTAAATGACACACAGGTTGGTGTGCAAACACATAAGCCGTAGTATTCCGTGTCAGGTTAACCTTTAAAACTTTCCAACTTTCGGCATGTTAAACGACACCCTGTTTAAGACACAAACGATTCTTTTATATAAGTGTAGCGAAATGTATTGTACACGTATGAATATTCAATTCAACCCGTAAGAAACAAATTCCACGTAGCGTAGTTCGACATTAACCATTGTATATTTCATGTTAGGTCATTGTCATCGTCATCGTCATGTCACAGAGCATATGGAATGGTGCACGTGTCAATCGTCATTTAGGGTATTTTAAAACTGCTCATACTGATAACATTTGCAAGCGGTCAATGTTATAATAACCAACCCCATCATTACGTAAGACAAAGTAATTTTAGTGGAAAATTATGCATTGTCATCAGTCCTATCGATATAGATACACTTATTTATGTAAGCGGTCCTTAAAATAAGATCGAGTCCTGAGAA